GAAGAGCAACTGAAATTGGAGCCATGTGGTAGAAATCAGAGCAATGGAGGTAAAAACTAAAAATGAGGCATGTGGCGGCTGATCCAACCATACGGTTGAAATTGAAGTCATCTAAACTCAGGAAGAAGTAGTAGAAGTGATCTCCTAGAAAACAGGTTTTCACAAATACAGTTTTACTCATAATTGTTTTCTGAAGACCAAATGCTTTGTTAACATGATCTCAAATTTTATTTTACTTTATAACCGATATTGTATTTTAACCAAGTTTTATGTATAACAGAGTTTTAGTGTATGATGTACATTGTAAAGATATAAAATTCTATTTATATACTTGACATGTAATTCTAAATAAAAAGAATCAAAAGTAATCATTTGTGTTTTTAATTACAGTCGAACCTGTTGTATATCTGAACACCTGGCTAATCCGAACACCTCCCAATCTGAACACTTTTTTTCGGTCCCATTTTTTTCATCCCATTGACTCCCATGTTAAAAAAACCTTGAAATGTGAACACCTCCCAATTTGAACAGTGAATTTGAAAAATTCACCTGTCTAATCTGAACACTTTTCATAAAATTTCTGATGTTTTATACAAAATTTCTTAAATTTTGTCATGATATCAAAACTTTGGGAAATAATCTTGAATGATCTCATTCATAATGGGGCTTTCCAGCATGATTAGATTCATTTGAATCAAATTTTCAAATTTCTGGAATGCCATAAAGCTATGTGGTCAAAAGAACTATAAATATTTACCGAGAATGTGTTCACATTTCTTCAGAATCCGGATCATTGCAGATGCAAAAACCTCAAAATGTGAACACCTCCTAATCTGAATGCTTTTATCCGGTCCCAATGGCGTTCGGATTAGACAGGTTTTACTGTAAATGGTTTTTATGTCAACAGCAGGAGTGGTGACATATTGTTATAAATTCCAACTTTTTTTAGGTCAGGGTTTGGCGTTTGTAACAAAGCCTTACAACTTCCAAAGTTCCAATAACTGATGGTGACATTTTGTCATGTGAATGGCTTGTTTAATGCCTTACAAGAGCAGACCAGTGACATTAGATCCTGCGATATAATAGAATACAGTTTCTGGTCGATTGTTATGGAATTTATTTTGTATCAAAATTGGACATTACATGATGTATGGGAAAAATCGAACTATATGATGCGATACTCGAACCATATGATTCGAAACTCGCATCATACTATGCGAAATACGCATCATTATATGCGAAACTCGCATCATCGTGTGCCATTTTCAATCCATGTTATACCAACAGTTAATTTTCTTACATAACTTATTTTCATTCACACACGCACTGGTTGTATCAAGTGTCACACAAAGAGTTAGCACTATCTCAAATCACTTTCCAAAAATCCAAAAGCAATGTTGAAATGTCACACGGATTGTGTTATAAGTTGCATGGAATACTGAAAGAATTACACATGGATCAAAGTAAATTTCGAACGAACGTGTCAATTTTACACACGCATTGAGTTCAAACTCGCATAGGATGGCTCCCGCTCGCATAGGCTGTCACAAACAAGTTGCACTTCACACAAGGTGCGAGATTTGAAGTCACGTGATATTTACATCCTGATTTCTACAATATGGCGCCCTTCGTTGAAATGTGATAAAATGTAAATTTTAAATTAAAAATATATAATAGGATACCCCAGGCCCTAGTCTGGGGAGACGTACAGTGGCCATATATTGAGAAACTACAAACTAGATCTTTTTATCTTTTTGCCGCGCTGATGTGTTATTTCGTTCAGTGCAAAAGTAACGCGAGATTTAGAACAAAATCTCGAACATCTCTAGAAAGCAATTTATGTTACATCAAGGTGTGTGATCGGCACATCATGGTTTGTGAGACTTGTGTACCCTGTTCGATGTCATTTTTAAACAATGCATACACAAATACGCATGTACAAGCATAGGCCAAGGGAAAAGTAAAAGTAAGCTGTATTATAGAAGAGACAGGTCCACAAGTAAGATTGAAAATTTTTCAAATTTTTTTAGTCTTGGCACTAGTTCTCCTTACTGGTATCAAATTGTATTCCCAAATCTCTCCAAAATCTTCTTCAAAGTGTTTTTCAAACTTATATCATTGTTTTTTTCAAATCTTTATCTAAAAACTGCATATAATACTGCATATAAAACAACAACTATGTATATCTGCAATTGCCTGGCAAGCTGAAACTGATTGTCACTGGTGGAGGTCAGGGAGGTCAGCAGTGACCAATCAGATCACTTGTTTACTAATGAACTTGCCAGGCAATTGCAGGTTTTCAGAAATTCTCTCTTTTAGACAGCATTATTCACTCTACATCATCTGACTGAGTTTCAATCTTAGGTAAGAGCTACAAACTATCAATTTTCTATCAACTCCCCATGGCTTTTTGAAAATAATACACTAAAAATTGTTGAAATCTCCATCTTAAAAAGTGGTCTAAGTCAGAGTTGTTCACCTGTCTCTTCTATATACGGCTTACTATTACTTTACCCTTGGCCTATGTGTACAAGTGTGATTTTACAAACATAAAGTGTACAAACTCGAACAAATCGTGTATGAAATCACACGGATTGTGTATGTATTCTGCTAAACGCTATTCTATGTGTTTGAGATATCACATAAATATAAGATGTCCAATTTTGATACAGTTTTAACACCATAGATTTTGACTCCCACCCACTGTATTATCTTCTTTTCTAGACTCATAAAGTACTTCCAGGATTATTATCAAAATAAAGATGAGATGAAAAGTGGGAATATATAACTCCTAGTACCTAGCACCTAGTACTGGACTCACATGGTCAAAGTGCATTCAATGATGACTGTTGAACCTTCAAAACTCAAAAAGCAATGTTTAGACTGAGGAGTGTGCTTTTTATCTTATTTTTTATGTCACCAATGCAAATGGTGACACATTGTTAGTCTCCAATTTTTTCATATCAATTTGTCACATATTGTTAAAGTCTACAATTTTTGTGGATGGTGTTTGGCTGTTGGTATTTGGGAGTCAGGATCTGTAACAAATGGCAGGTGATGACATTTTGCATGTTAATTTTTATAAACAGAAGTAAACGTTTGAGTCTAGAAAACAGTGATAATGCTGTTTAATGGAGGGGAAAGTCAAAATATTGCTTATTGAAACCATGTTTCTCATTGGAAGATTTTATACGCAGATAATATGTATTTTAGGTTGCCTGATGTCTTTTCTTTAATGTGATACTAGTATGTATAGTTGTTTTGAATATAGATTGAAATAAATTTCAACAAATACTCAAACTTGTTCCCTTATTGCTAACCTAAGCAACCCGAGATTGTTTAAGGTGAAGGAAATTGTTACAACCAAGAACTTAAAATATGATTTTCGGGGAATTACAAGATGCAAATAGATCCAAACGTTTTGGCAATATGAATGGTGACTCGTGGGCACCTATATATTAAAAGCAGAATCAGATCTATAGAGGGTAACAATATTACAAGCAACATGCACAATTGACATAACAATTTGTTCCTTACAATCTCAAATACAATATCTCCCAAAAGATCCATGATATGTTATTAATTGGTGAAGTTATTAAGAATTCCAAGTGCAAAAATGGTGGAAAATGTTCAAATTCTCCTAAATAATTAAAAAAGTAGTAACCATAATTAAAATAAATAATTAATTATTGTAAAAATCTTAGTTTTCCTGAAATAAAGTATTGTCTCTCGGGTTTTTAGAAAATAGACATAACGAGAGAACAAGAAGAGCCAAATATATTCTTAAATAGAAACAATTTTTTGTTTAGCTTGCTTGCTAGATCTGATTCTCCCTTTAAAGTACCTCTACAATTTGAATGAAGTTGATGGAATATTATTATTGCTGTCAGTCATATATTGATTTCTGACACATCCATTTCATTGACAATACCCTCTGTTAAGAAAAAAAGGTGCATGGTCTTTTATCATTCATTACATTTTCAAAATTTTGTATGATTTTACTTAACTCTTGGCGGCACATGGTGTAATATTGTGAATAACTGGTGGAGATTTGAAAAAATTAGATGAGAATTTAAAAAAGTTAGCAATGGTTAAACACATTGACGCACAAACTCACTTACGTGACTTTTTCCATTAAATTATGTGATAAATTACAATTTGCTATAAAATCGTGTAATACATTTTCCTCTTAGCCTATGACATCATTTTCTATATGTTATATTCTTCATACCATTGTAAAGCTCGTCCCAAACTGGTCAGAAAATTATGGAAATGCCAAAACCCGCCTAAAACATGATCTTTAGACAATTTTACACCTCAAATAGCAGTGAAATTAGGGATAGGATGTAACCATTTTTCTCAATAAACACATTTATATATCACATCTGACATGAATTTTGGTATGCATAAGCTGCTAAGTATAGGATGTTTAACATATTTATGGGTCATTGAGAAAGATTAATGAAAATTATGAAATAATCTTACAATTTCCAGTTTATTGTAATATATGTTACCCCTACCCCTAATTTTGAACTGAGAAGAGACCTTTGAATCTGAAGGATTTTACCTCAGATTTTATAACAAAATGGTTGTAATTAGTCGGACTTTCAGACCCTTCTGGAGCATATTGCTGGGTATAGGATTTCTCTTTATGACGTCAATTTATGGTAACTCACGATTTTGGGAGTTGTTCTGTTCAATCCTTTCTAACTTTTTACTATATTTACCAAATTCTTTGAAATTTTCTCCATTTGGCCAAAGTATACATACATCATACCTCTGAATGTATGGTCTGATAATAACAAAAATAAAAAAGATATGATGGGTAGAAGACATTGCACCTTTTTTTCTTTACAGAGGGTATATAAAATCAAACTCTGTTTATGTAACGTGACTAAAACTATGCCATCGGTTTTCTTTGAAGATATTTAAATTATTTGGGTCAGAAAAATAGCTCACTATGTGTAAGCTAAAATGAAGTGAACTCAAAACACTTTAGATAAAGTTATAAAATTATGTACAGAGATTTATTGCACACTATGTACAGGGAATGCTAAAATGGTAGAGGCATCGGCTGTGGATTCTGGAGGTATGACATCACAACTGCTGATATGGACAACCTGCAAATACACAAAGAAGTCCTTAGACATCGTTATAGTACTAGTAGATACTTAGAAAAACAAATTTATACAAAATTTTCCTTTGATTTGCAAATGTGGACAATTGCAGCATTAAAAACAGAACATTAGAACAAGTCAGTCGACTTTGCACCTTAATTGAATTATTTCAAAGAAAACAGATTTTGATCTTCAGATTGTATTTCTCAACAGTAAAACAACAAGGCATTAACATGACAAAATGTCACCACCTAAAACAATTTGGTCAATTTAAAGCAAGTTGGAAAATACCTTTTGACCTTAAGAAGGTTTGATTTTAACTTCTTAGAACATGTAGATGATTTTGAAAAAAAAATTCGTCAATTTGAAGCAAGTTGAAAAAATACCTCTTTGACTTTTTTTGACATTGAGAAGGTCATTGAAGGTCAAATGTAAAGTCAGATTTGAACTTCTGAGAACATGTAGATGATTTTGAAAAAAAATTAAGTAAATTTGAAGCAAGTTGAAAAAAGACCTTTTTGACCTTTTCAAGGTCATTGAAGGTCAAATGTCAATTCTAAAGTCAGATTTGAACTTCTGAGAACATGTAGATGATTTTGAAAAAAAATTAGTCAATTTGAAGCAAGTTGAAAAAAGACCTTTTTGAACTTGAGAAGGTCATTGAAGGTCAAAGGTCAAATTTAAAGTCAGATTTGAACTTCTGAGAACTTGTTAAGTCAAATTTGAACTTCTGAAAAGATGTAGATGATTTTGAAAAAAAAATTTGGTCAATTTGAAGCAAGATGAAAAAATACCATTTTGACCTTTTTTGACATTGAGAAGGTCATTAAAGGTCAAATGTCAAATCTAAATTAAGATTTGAATTTCTGAGAACATGTAGATGATTTTGAAAAAAAAATTAGTCAATTCTTAAAATCGCGGATTCGGTAGTATTGAATCTCTAATAAAGATGGCGCGAAAGTTTTTCCTCATAAGGTCAAAATATTTCCCATGATGCAGTTCGCGGGGGAACAAAATTTTTCTACCTTGTTTTTCCCCGTTGGTTTAACATGGGGATTTTCATACCCATTTTTCAAGCGATATTTTCGATCGAATCTCCATGCGATCGGAGAAAACAAACTATCAGAAACAATTAGTCTTTTAATAATCTTTATATAACATATATTTTTTTTCATTTTATTGGCTCCTAACGGGGTGAAAACAATGATTGAAAATGGGAGTATATTCCGGAAGAGAAGAAGTCACGTGACTATTCGCCATATTGGAAAAAGCAATTCCATTCGACTTTCAACACGTTCATGCCAATATTACCGCACTACAAACTGTAACATCGATGCAACAACTGAATAAAAGTACTCATCTTCATATTACATTATAGAGTTACGTTGAAAACCCACAAACAACTGAGCATTTGACCAAAGAAGACACGTCGCTATTATCTAGGTCAAGTTTAGTGGTTCGAAAGCAAATCTTACATACTCGTTTCCGAATTTTGTTGTTAATTGTATAATCTTTTATTGATTAAATCTGGTATACTGACTATTAATTCAATGACAAAGAAGAAGAATTCCGATGGTGTCATTTTTTTATTTAGCTTGCGGGTGTAAAAACAAAATTGCGTAATTAATTTGATTTAGAACTTTCGGGTCTCACAAATAGCTACACGAAATGCATCGTTGAAAAATATTGACCAATCAAATTTTGTCCTTTTTGAGTACATATATGCACCATATATGCGAACGTTCTGATTCAAAGAGCGAACAGCGAAATGGAGAATTTGAAGCAAGTTGAAAAAAGACCTTTTTGACCTTTTTTGACCTTGAGAAGGTCACTGAAGGTCAAATGTCAAATCTTAAGTCAAATCTAAAGTCTGATTTGAATTTCTGAGAATACATAGATGATTTTGAAAAAAAAATTTAGTCAATTTGAAGCAAGTTGAAAACAGACCTTTTTGACCTTTTTTGACCTTGAGAAGGTCATTGAAGGTCAAATGTCAAATCTAAAGTCAGATTTGAAGGTCAAATGTCAAATCTAAAGTGAGATTTGAATTTCTGAGAACATGTAGATGATTTTGAAAAAAAATTTAGTCAATGTGAAGCAAGTTGAAAAAAGACCTTTTTGACCTTGAGAAGGTCATTGAAGGTCAAATGTCAAATCTAAAGTCAGATTTGAACTTCTGAGAACATGTAGATGATTTAGAAAAAAATTGAAGTCAGTCTAAACAGTATTTGTTAAGTTATAGGAAGTTGTAAGAAATTGTTACAGACGCCGGACTCCGGACGCCGGACGCCAACCTCCAACCGCCGTCGCAAAAAAACGGAGACCATAACAATATGTCACCACTTTTGGTGGTGACATAATAAAAATGCCAATGACTTCAATCAATTGAAATGGTCAAATTTTAATGTGATGTAACTTCAATGTTTGAGAAGATTTAATAAAGAAACATTCCTTAGCTTGGATGCAAATAACGGCTAGTGGCTACTGGATTAACCCACTATTTTATGGGCAACTCATTTAAATATGAATAGACTACCTACCACTATTCCATTCATATTTAAATGAGTCAGTCATAAAATAGTATGTTAATCCGGTAGCCGTTAGTTGCATTCGAGAATACAAGCTTATTTTTGGGAGGAAAACATTCGACATGACCCCAAAGTTCATTTCACTTGACCCCTAAGTAGAACATGTGACCTGGCCATGGAATACATTTGATCTGGCCTGATCCCAAAGAAGTACATTTGACTTGGCCAAGTAGTACATTTGACCTGACCCCTAAGTGCAAGTAGTACATTTGAACAAGTTCCCACATAGTAAATGTACTTACATGAAACTGCTAAGCATCTGTTTGGTATCTTCTGAGGATCTTGAGTTTGCAAAGCTGATGAATGAACAATACACTGCAGTCCAGGCACACCATTTCATCTGAATTGACAAATTATAAAAAATTGAAATCTAATTTTAAAATTCAAGATGTTTGCTGAATTGGTAATTAGTATTAATTCACTGTTAAAAGAAAGTTATACAAAAATTTTAACTCATGGAAAACCTGGCTGGTCTTGGGAGTAATCTGGCTGACTAACAGAACCATTTACACATTTACATTGACGTCATGTGTAAATGAGTCTTATGTCACCGAGGCTAATTGTTTAATTCTTACTTTCAAGAGCAGACCACACATGCTGAAGATCATGCCTAGTAAGTTCATATAATCTGGGGTAGGGTCCTCCATTGGGCCTCCACTGGGAGGGGGCTTGTACCTGAAATAATACATTATGACAAGATGGATTTAAAATATCACATTCTGTATCAAAATAGTTGTAGAATATTTTGAAGGGATGTATAAATAATTCTGATCATAAACCTGTAAACAGAAAACCCAAAAAAGAACCATCAAATGCAAAAGTGGCATGGGCTCTAAAAATTTAAAAAGAATGAATGTGACAAATAAATGCATGCAAGTGCCAATTTAGACATTGATCTGACTGACAGGGTTTTGAAAGTGACAAAAATAGACAATTCATGCAGAATGTATTTGGATGCAAGTGAAGGTGACTTATTCACCTTCTATTCAGGCCATGTGTTGTTATAAAGCTTTAACTGACCAAATATAAATGAATCTGACAAAATATGATGACAAATTAAGTCACCATCAAATTACCTTTAAATTAAATTATAAGTAATTTAAAAAAATGATATTTAAAGTCATTTAATTTACATACAGTTTCCATTGTCAATTTACCAAAAAATATCAGACAAGAGGATATAGTCTAAATTGATCCAATCGTGCTCCTCATCAGTCCAAAGATTGATTTTTCTGAAAGTGTTCCAATAATCCTTCAAAATCACTCAGCCTACTTACATTTAATATATCACAGAATTTTATGTATGTATAAATCCATTCCATAGCCAGTAAAAGAATTACTCTAAAATCTATATAAATATCAAAGAAAAGGTCAGTCATTTTCTCAAAAAGATTCTCCTGTTCCTGTGTTTGAGTGACATCAGGGTTCCAAGCATTGGATGAGTTTATCTAACAGAGGTGAAAATATCTGAACTCGCCATTTTATTGAAAGATTGCGGCTGTGTTAGCCCTACTTGGTGGATTCGACACGATCTATTTCATACATGTTCCCGAGCCCATGCTCTAAACGAATGGATGAGTCCATTCTGTTCTGGTGAAGTTACATTCTTAGAATCTATCAGCTCATCAAATTAAAAAAAAATAATGAAGAAATCGGGACAGGATTCTTCGGTAAAAATTTGAGGTGTCTGATATTTTGAACCAAGGTGTCCACAATTTGAAGGTAGGTGTTCAACCATTGTAAGTCACTCATGATATGTGTTCCCAAGTTGACAGACCTTTAACGCCGTGATGGCCAAACTTACCGCATATAAAGAAAAACATTGATTGAAAAACATGAATAAATTTGATGAAAATCAAAATCCTTTCGAAATTTCTCGTTTTTCTCTACGACGAATAAAGAGAATAAAGTAGCCTAAACAAACCTTTGGACTTTTTCTGGGCGTCTAGGGTCTTGAGAATTATTTGCATGCATGTTTTGAGGCCGTAGATAGACACAATTCCTATAAATGAACGAAACAAATGAAAAACTAAAATCTTGAAGAAATTTAAACCGGAAGTCGTGTATTGATTACGCATGCGCATACGAGTCCAGAGATATGGCAAAGTACAAGTGGTGCAGGATTTATTGATTTAGTAATACTTATCAGTCACTGTGACTCTTTGGAAGAAAACGCACGATACAGCTATTATATAGGCATACGAATCTCAATAGCTTTCACAAATTACTATCTACATACAGCAATATATTGAAATAAACTGAGACTTCCGGTCAAGAAATTTTGTTTGGATTTTCATTATTTCAAAAATCAAAACAAACCATACTGTTACTGTTTGTGTTTGGTAAAACTTGATAAATATCAGCATGCATTCAAGAAATTAAAAATACTAATTGAATGTTGTGATTAGTTCTAAGTTCTTCAAAAGTGTAGATTTCATTTCCAAAGTAGACTACACTTTTATCACTGCGACAGATAGCTATGAGTGATCAGATGAACAGTCGGAATGACAGTGACAATGAAGAGGAGGTAGGCTGATTATTTATGAATTGCTCTTTTTCTTTTGCATAAATTTAAGTACAATGTCGATGATTTTTGTAATGTCAATGATTTTTTTTGTTAATTAATTCTTGATTTGTCATTACAAGTAAATGTCATCAACTGTAATAATATTATTGTTAATCTTCTCATTGCTTAGTATAAGCACCATGTCTGTTTTCCAAAGAATAGCCATAGCATTTGATATGACTTATGTTGATTGTCATAAATTGACGAGATCGCATATGCACTTGTATCAAAAAATAATTTATATTATCTATACCCTGATTTATTAGCTTTCTTCCAGAAAGGTACATGTTTGGCACATGTATATTAATTATATCATAAGGGTAGAGCACTGATGCACTGCAACCGAGGATGGCAAATTCTAATTCTTGTTTAGGGTTAGGTCTGTGGTTTGGGTGAAGGTTGTTTATTTAGGGTGACAGAAGAAAAATTATATCTAGATATTTTCTATGCTGTCATAGCAACCTATTTGCCTCATTTTGACTTGTATATTTTGACTTGTATAATATTGACCGAATGTAAAGTATCATTATCATATTGACCTGATTTTTATACAGAATTGGTGGTAATGTATATGCCGGGGTATATGCATGCTGTTTGATAAAATGTTTAGGTAATTCACTACATGATCAGATTATACATTTACCGTATTATCTTAACTGAGTGCACAGTTCCAAAGCGCGCAAATCCATCTTTTATGTTGAATAATATGGTCTCAAGAAAACACAAAGTTTAATGCATTAGTTTTTAGTTTTTACACAACAATATATAGATTGATGATTATATTTAATGTAAAGAATGAAATACAGGAGCTAGAAAGCATGAATACCTTAGTGATAACAACTAAAAACATTATGTGCACTTCTTGGAATCTCTCTATATTTTTTACCCTTTTTAACATCAATTTGGAAACTGCACGATGCACTTATTAGAGAGAATATGGTATTTTGATTTAAGTTGCATTTCGGACTACTGAGATTTTTTTTATTTAGATATTTAGTATCGAGTTCTTCCATTTTACTTAAGTTTTTTTTAATTTAGGGATTTGGATTAACATTTTTAGTAGGAATAAAAGTATCATTTGAAGTTTTTTAAATGCAATTACCCAGGCTAGGGTTGACATGTTTTATTTTAAGCCTAGTAGTGTAACACATGTATCTAGTAGCCTATTGAAATATACACCTTGATTAATATCAAGTTTTACACAGAGTTTAATACATATTTGTGTTTCTACTTGATTGATACACCAGAAACTTTGCAGTTGCAATTGTTCAGTCTTTATGTTCTTTTGATTATATTCACCTTAAACATAGACTGGGATTTTATTAGAATTTCTAATAACATGCAATAGAATGAAACCAACAAGTACAATGTACAATTATTGGATATTATAACTTAAACATAAAAACATTTGCAAAATTCCTAAAAACATTATATGCAAATTTGGTTAAAACAAGAAAAAATTGCATGTTGCCTACACCTAGTATGTAAAAATATATGTTCTACACTATAAAATATAATCTAAAGAGAGTGATTGAACTTCAGTACATAATCATCTTGAGCAATTGCAGCCTTCTCCTTTTTAAAAGAAGTTTGACAATTTGAATTATGTTTCATTTTTCCTCATTACATACATTGTATATAGTAACCATACCAATGCCAAATTACCACAGTTGCTAGGATTTGGACATGTAGCTGTGTTATATGCTTTTACTAGGAAACTCTGAATTGTTAACATGTATGATGTATTAATTGCATGCCATTGTAGTTAAAGTTAGTATTATTTATACAGTATAAAGGTATACTGTATACAAAAGCAGAATTTATTATTAAGCCCTCTACTACCAGTTCTCAATACAATCTAACTTCAAACAACAATGTTTCAAAGTTCTCGATTCTTATGTTAATATGACATTCACACGTAGCAAGGAAAGGTGTGTCTGATTTCAGCCAATTCGAACACAGTGTTTCAAATAACTGCAGTGCATTATATCTCCAATCACCATATTCCATGTCACTTGTTAAACAGTTATCATGGTGACGATTTGACTTTCCAGATTGAAATTGATACTTTGCCGACTTCATTGAAAATATGTTTTAGTGATTTTGTATCTTTTAGGCTATTTTGTAGAAAAAAGTTTGCAATGTGTGAAAAGAATTTTAGCCCAAGACTCAATGCATTGTGGCTGTTTCATTTCACTCAGGCGTTGTTTCCTTCACTTTGCATTCCTGCTGTGCAATCATGCAAAGATTTGGAAACAACACGCAATGCACTAAGTCCAGGGCTTAAATCCTTAATACATCAAGACCCTCTCTTTAACCACAGCCCTACTTATTTCAAAAGTATGAATTTGCCCCTTTAAAAGAGAGCTTCATCTGCACTCTTTGAGATAATCCTTTGATATAGCATTGACCAATCAGAATATGGTCAGTTACGATCCAGCTATCCAATGAAAATAGCATTCACTGAATTTTCTGCTTTCATATACACGTACAGTATTATATACCTGGCATTCATTTCATATTGAAACGTTCATGTTATCGGCATCAAAACTATATAATTATTTCTCGTATTCAGAACCTTATGACTAGAATCTGACATTCAGAGTACCATTGTCCATCAATCTTCCTGTTCCAGGTTTCCATGGTGACAGCTACAATATATTGAGGAATTTTCATAGCAAAGGGTTTTTATATAATTTGCTCCAGGTTATCATCATATTATAGTGTTAATCTATATACTTTAAAACATTCACTTTTTAATTTCAGAAGTTTGAGGATGCTACTGAGACCCCAAAAGTGTAAGTAATTTATTTCATTTATTTTATAAAGATTAAAAGGTCTACGCTGAGGTCTGTAAAACCATTAAGCTTAAATGGGGCCAAACCCTTTTTACAGTGACAGTAAACTGATATATGAGGATGATTTAAATAACTGTAAACAAGGAACAAGGGCTATCAATTTTTTGCTATTGGATGATATTACACTCTTATCATTGAATCATTTAGGTATTAAATATTTGTTTCATTGCGGGATCGCTATTTTTTATAGTGAAATACAAAACTAACATCATTGTTATCGAAGACAATTTATTATACTCATCATATGCTGTTGTTTTTATGAAGACAATCCGTTTGTCAGTGTTGGTTGTTTATGCATTATTTATGGACACCCTCCTAATCAATATTGGTAATATCAGCATACTAATTATGAATATTTCGCACATATTTCTCCAGATGGTTGTGATTAGGTCTAAGAATAAATGTTTACTAAATTTATTTATCCTGAAGGGGATCGTAATCAATAAATCTCAAAAGCGTGAAATGTAAAACACAAATTGAAAATATTGATCACGAACAGACCTGTCCAATTACATGCATCTCTTAATACAAGTCGATAGAATATAATGTTTAATTATATTTTAATATGGTTTTTTCATGCACTGTTTTATCACATTCTGATGGAACATGAGAATTGATTTCATATCCGTGGATACGTACTTTGAGTTGGGTCTACGGCATTGATGGAGAATTTCTTCATATTGATCAAATCAAGACCAATGTTGCGTTACATAGAGATCCAACTATGTACATTGATATTACGTGCTGTAAGGCAGGCCATTAACCTAAACGTTTTACTTGAACTAACACTTTTTATGAAACAACTTGACCTTAATTTTATTTTCTTCATCAGAAAGAAGAATATCAATACAAGCCAAGCAGCAAACCAGAAACATACATTAGTATCCATGCTTCTATATAATCTGCCTTATTTACATTTGCTGGAATTACACCTGGCGTTTTACAAAAGCTTCTTCGGTTTTAACCAGGTTTAAGAATTAGGTGTAATCACGATTGCTGTTTTACAAAAGCGCTTTTCTAAAACTCCAAGAACCCTTGTCACTAGTAAACGGCATAAGTCGTTAGGCATTTTAAGTGTGCAGTGTAATACCGATCGGTTTTTGTAAAACGCCTTACCCGGGTTTTTACTACTGTACTAGTTTTTGACATTTTCCCTAAACGAAATATTTGATACATTTGAAACATTTGATACATGATGAGACATCCGGTCACGCTGCTATCTGGCTATATCTAAATTGAAAAATGGATGATGGTCGCCAGGTCACATCGAAATCAAGTGTTATCTTCAGAGAATATGTACATATTTTTCTTTCACCTTTTATTATGTTTTCTCATAATTAATAAAAGATAAAAATTATGCAATGTCATGCATTTCTAATCAAATTATGGAAGATCAGTTTTGTCTTAGATGCAAAAAGAATACATTTACAGGAGATGTACACATACATGTATGCTGGATGTTATCCATAACTACATCGTTAAAAGTGCACGAAAGGCGTTTTAGAAAAACAGGTGTAATTCCAATATATAAATCCTAAGACGCTTTAGAAATGCAGGTGTAATCAGAATGGCGATTTTGTAAAGCGTCTTCCACTAAAACGTTTTAGCTGATTTTGTGGTGTAATTCCAGCAATTGTTTAGGAATCTCTGACATTTATATGATTTAATTATGTTTCAGGGGTACCACGTTGGACCTTGAGGATGCCCTGGAACAGACTTGTATTGCTATGAAGCTTTTTCTAAACAATAAATTTGCAGAGGCTAAGGCAAGATTTGAACCATGGTAAGATTCAGTATGAAATAGAAATTAACATTAAATGCCTATTTTTTCATTTTTTCATTTTGTTATATTGACAGGTTTGATATTAACATTCAGTGGTTCAACATGAGACTGACATAAAATCATGTTAGTCTCAGGTTAAACAGATGTATTTTAAAAAGATGGTATCATTTGACAATGTAACATGCACATAAGATGACCTACATGTATGTTACTGCTGACCTCATGGTATAGCCACTACATGACCAGAGACATATAAAATAATTATTTCTCATTCTGATATTTTCGTTGAAGTGTTATCCCTGGGTCATATCCATAATCATAGTACTCAACACAAGCTGTGTGATATTATAAGTAAATCATAATTAATTTCTTCATTGAAAATTAAGTTTAAAATGAAATATGCCAATATATCATGTTTTTATCTGGAGTTATCAAAGCTCAATGTCATTGTGAATCCCTTATATGTCGCATTAACTCCAATACAGATTATGAAATATGCAACACCTATCACTAATAACCCAGATGCGAGTAGAAATAATCTTGATTTACGTCATTAAAAATTCAAAATTCATATTTGAAATCTACATGTAAAATTACATCTAGAAATGTGGTTTTTAAAAGTGTTTATCAACTTTGAAAAATTCATTTTCTTTGAAAATGTGACTTCTAGCTTGGGGAGATTCCCCATAGACCCCATGCTATAAAATCACAAGAAATGAAATATCTTTTCTTTTAGTGGACAGATAATATTTTGCTTTATTGGACATATTTTCATTAGTATAAGTATCAGACACATAAGGGTTATATGAAAATTGAGCCACTTAAATTTATAATATTCAAGTTTAAAGGAACTTTCTTATATACCTGCCATGTTAATTGACCCGAATCAGCCACCTGGTGGTGAAACTGGTAACTACCTACTCGCATTTGGGTAATTGAACCATGGGACCAATAACACTTAATACATCCATAAATATAAAGCATCTTGTGCATTAGTTCAGATCTTCATTCTTTTATAAAATCATATCTGTTGCTGCTGGGTGTACATTTGGCTGCAACTATAGTAAATTCCATTAGCTCAATGGAGTGACACCTAACAAATTATTAATCCCTTTTGTCTATTCTACATGTACATGTGCTATTTTTGTTTATTTACATCTGTTATTTTTGTTTCTTGGTTTTTCCTTAACATCTTTTGTGTAAAGTTATTAATGTTGTTTTTTTCACATTGCAATAACTCTTTATTTTTGCTGCATTTAATTTCTATTTTACTCAGTTCAGTTGATCACGCCTAGTAATGCATTAGGTCAAATGCAGACACGGGAACTGACCATCAATTTTTGTTTTTTAAACCATTTGTCAGTCAAGTAGTTAAGAAAACGATACTCTATGACCACTCTACCTCATCATTGGTACATGTATGTTATAAATCGTTTACTTAATAAAACTCCTAGTCTCCTACTGCTCCAAACACATTCTTATGATTTTGTAATTGTATCTAATTTAAGAGCATGTTTTATCTGCCCTATAGGAAGGATGAAAACTTTGTATTTGCCTTTGGTTATGCATCTTGTGCATTCTTGGAAATGGGTCTCTCTACTGAATTGGGTGTAAGTTATTCTACATAAAAACAATCTAATCTAGGTTTAAGGTTGTAGTTGACGGGTTTATGTATAGTTAAGGTGCATAATTAAGGTAGGCCTAGAGGACGAATAACATGCTAAATTAAGGTGAACAGAGTAGAATGAGTTATATGGTTTCTTTTTTTTAAACATAAAAATCATGATATCAAAATTATAGAAAATAGTTAATTTCTGAGAATGTTTTAAGAAATGCTCACATGATTTATAAATGTTTATCTTTTGACTTATTTGTTATCTTTATTGGAAGAGATACTGATGTAGAGTCCAAATGCAAAAAGGTTAGACAGTTTTCAAAACTTCCTAGGCCTACCTTGATTTACATTATACATGTATATGGTATATGGTGCAGTCCCAGGGTGTGCTGGTATCACTTTTGCAAATTTATTTTGTTCAGTGTCTTTTTGTCTCATTTTCCGACTTATTATTTTGTCACTTGTCTTATTTCTCATATTTTATTTCTCCTCTGTTATTTTCTCACAATTTTTGAAACTTCAAATCTCTCGCATCAGAATATCAATGTCTGAGAGGAAACTAAATGAATTAAGTTTTGGGAGGAGAGTAAATCCACATTTAAGTTTCCTATCCGACAAAATTTTCAATCTTTCAATCATTCCCAAAGATGTAAATGTGTGGCTTCCAACCCCATTCAAATACAGTACAGTAGAACATAAAACAGATCATAAATTATGATTGATACAAAGATTATGATGGAAATTTTATACAGTACCAAGGAAATAAAAGTGACAAGAGGAATCAATATGTCTTTAAAACTCCATAACGAAATTTTACAAAATTTCCAGCAGAAACTTTGCGTTTTTAACATTTGAGGTATTTAGTTTTCGGGGGGGGGGGGAGAGGGGGTCAAGATCAAAACTAAATTTATTTAGTTTCCTATCAGACATTGATTTTTGAAGCTCCCCTCATGAATAAAACTATTTGTCACAGCCTTTAGTATTATATAACACAATCTCCTGATATTAGATTTATATATTGTTTATTATAAGTTAAAAGTGAGGTATTCACGAAAGTGAGGTATTCAAAAATATGACTACCTCTTTTACAGTGAAAACCTGTTATACTCGTGTATGAACACTTTTCAAGGCACTTTTTATTTATTTATTAATTCCGTAATATAATGTGAACACTTTGAAATAAGAACACTTAATGGTGTTATCACTTGATAATGTTACGATAACATTGTATTTATTTAAGATAATATTATTGTGCCATAGTCTCAATACATGTTTAAGACATGTCTGATAATGCTATATCTGAAAGTAAACCAATTAGTTAAGGAGACACCTTGTCAAGTGGCAATAGAAGGGCTCGTTGTCCTCATATGTGAAGCCAATATATTTTCTCTTTTATCACTGATACCATATTCTGCCAAATGTGTTCTTTATCTTTCAGTACTATTCACTGGCATGTAGCGATTATAGCGGTCCTGTCTTGGCTTATTGAATTGTTACGAAGTTACGTATGCGGTGCGGAAGTTAGAGAGCAAATGACCATCATTTCAATGTAATAGTTTATGCAGGAAAATTGAGATTAGGCCATTGGAGTATTTGTTTCATGCATTTGTAAAACATTACCCACTCATAGGTCATACTTATCGTTAAACCAATAACTCAAATATATGCCCTTGTACACTAGGGTGGTCCAAAATATGGCGAAAAACCAACTTTGTTTCAGATCATCTTCCTCATTTCACTTACTGTTGTCCATGACCTAAAACACCTGCACACCAAATTTTAAGACCCAAATCACATGGGAAATTTACCCACGCTTCGACTGAAAATTCGGTTATTTCATGATTTTTTGCTATTTTCGATAAATTGTCATCTCCCTTTTCCTGGTATAATATGTTTCTATTTTTTCATAATAAACATTTTTGTAGGACTCTTTATTACTTCATAATACTCGGAACCCATACACCAAATGTTGAGACCCAAATCCCATGGGAAATTTACCCACGCTTCGACTGAAAAATTAGGTTATTTCATGATTTTTTGCTATTTTCGATAAATTGCCATCTCCATTTTCCTGGTATAAAATGGTAGATGTCTTTTCATAATAAATATTTTTGGATGACTCTTTATTACTTCATAATACTTAGGAACCCATACATCAAATTTTGAGACCCAAATCCCATGGGAAATTTACCCACGCTTCGACTGAAAAATTGGGTTATTTCATATACAATACAATACATCTCTATTTTCCTGGTATTATATGTTTCTATTTTTTATAATAAATATTTTGGGAGGACTCTTTATTACTTCATAATACGAGGAACCCATACCCCAAATATGCACCAAATTTTGAGACCCTGGCCCCATGAGAAATTAATTCATGCTTCAACCAAAAATTTGTGATTTTCTGCGAATTTTCTCCTATTTTCAATAGATCAACATTAATCTTATATTTAGTTTTTAAACATTTTAGGAGGACATTAACATGTTCTTAATACTAGGAACCCATACATTTAATATGTACCAAATGTTTAGACCTGAACCCCATGGGAAATTCACGTTTGCTTTGATCATATACTTTTGATTTTTGTCGTTTAGAGCACCATATCATTGTTGTGTGATGTGCAATTTGTAATAAATTGTATTACACGTTGTCTTAATTATCCTGTTTGGCCTTACATACGTTACATCGTGAAAGATGGTTATATAGTACTTTAAGGTAATTCCTTATTTTCAGTTTTAATGGCTTCCTAATTGGAGCCCCGTGTTTTTTCAGGAACACATAACTCATTCCATTCAGATGCACAAACAGTGTATAAACATAGCACATAGTACATTATAGAAAATTACTAACCATCAACTAATAATCTAAATACATATTTGAACTCAGTGTAAAATTGAAAGAGCTGACCAAGTATGGAATGAGTTCCAGAAATAACATTGGACTCCACTTAAAATTTCTGAACATACAGAATTACCTTAAGTGTTTCTCATTGCTCTTCCTATCTTCTACATTGTGTACTTTCAGGGCATGAACATTTTCAGAGACACGACAAAGCTCAGTGGAAGCTCGAATCCCTTGAAGATTTGGTACAGGCTTACTGGTTACAACAGAGACCATGCCATTGATACATTGATCAATCAAAAAATCATTTCTCCAAAGAAAATCAGATTTGATATTTGACCTTACCCTGCAAAGATGTGAGAAAGAATATAACATCTCACACAAATCCAAACAAAGTCCTGTGATGTATCCCTACTGAAACCAACAAACCAAATCTTCAAGGCATTTGAGTTGCTGTCGAGTCATCACTTCTTAATATTAACCACAGTATATAAATGTACAAGTAAAAGATCCTAAATTTTTATCCAAACTACTGAATTT